TGATGTCACAGGAGACGATGATTATATCCCTGCGATAGTAAGAGGTGTTCAAAATTTTTTAGCGATTGCAGAAGGCGATGATGTCGTATCCACTACTGTGGGAGATATTAACGATCATACCTTGGTCAGAGAGTTTCTGTAATAATGATGGTGTGTGTTATGTTTGTTGTTTGAAATAATAACTTTATAAAAATAGGTTAGGTAGAATAGCGACAACTTTTGCATATTTGTAAGGTACTGAAACACACAAATGTGTGAGTTGGACTACTACAGTGTTACAATGCGGAAGAGCATCACAGTCTTGTTGTGAGGAGTAATTGTACAATTACAGTCATAAAAATACACACTTAGAACATTTTTATGCTAATTTACTACATTTTTATCTAATCTGAACAATTTCCAAACAGTCCCAATTAGTTGGCATCAGCGGAACCCAAGTAAACTTTAATTTGTTATAAAATAAGCATTGGATAAGACACATATTGACCAATCAATAAAATAAATTTATGCTAATCAATCCAGTATATAAAATGGAAATTCCAATAAGACAAACGACACACAATTTTGGCCAAATTATTTTAAGGTTGCACTAAAAATATGTCTATTGTAAAAAGATAAGGTGAAGCTTTTATAATTGATTCTCTTTATTTAAGTTTCATATTTATTAGATCATCACTCTCAAGAACAAATGATCCAGTGGTTAATAAGTTCCTCTTCCTATGGGTAAATGAATTTCAAATGCGTACATTATTTTTGTTAAACTGTAGTTTTTCAAAGAAACTCAATTTAGTTGTTTTATCCACATAAAACTACAGTATGTTAAGTAAGTGTAAGAAATGGCCATGTGGCCCTAACTTTGCCTGTGTAAATAAATATTTTTTCATTTCATTTCATACAGATTATGTCAGATTATGTTTTTAAACACATGTGCCCCTTGCAATAGATTGATTATGGCTGTGTAGATAAATAACTTGCTGATGGTGTATAACAGTGTACCATACCTACAACTAAGTCACACAAAAGATCCATAACTTTTTGGCCACACAACACTGTAAAATATATTGTTAAAAATATGAAACTGTGACCCAAGCTGTTGAATTTGTATGGTTCCTGTTAAATATTAGGATTCAGTTGTACAAAATAAACATTGTCAGTGTCAACGTTGGTAGTTCCTGTGATCACCACGATGCAGCAGTACTAGCTCACTCCTCACCCGGAATGTATTTTCCGATCACCCTCATAAACAGTTCTTAGCCTCTCCAAATTATGTGTGTGACTGTGTTACTTCTCAGTGGTGTGTGTGCATTTGACTTCATCTGGCCAAAACCACGGTTACCTACTATCCTAATTTATTCTCTGAATTTATACACAGAAGAAAAGTAACTAGCTGCATCTAGACACAGAGAAGTATGGAACAGAGGAAAAATCAAATGGTTCACTTAAGTGGAGTCTAGCACTAGTCATGAGGTTAAGGACAAAGTTCAACACCTCGCCCTCATGTACTTCAACGCTCACACATGTGTGTGCCCTAATAGGAGTTTCCGTACAGTGCTCGCCACTTGGGCTCTTCCTTGCTTGTCACAAGTATATTCAAGGGCACAACATACCAGAGCGCACGGTCGTTCCATAAGCTAGTTTCCTCTATACCTTACTTCTCTGTGATCTAGTACACTGGTAGACTATTAATAAGCGAAATGTTTGGTTGATGATGCTGAATACACATTTCTACTAAGAATTAACAAATTTTTGTCATTGTGTAGCCGTTGGTGAGTTAGTGTCTTAAAAGTGTTTATGGTGACATACAATATACAACAACAGATGTAAATATAGGCCTAAACACAGACACTGTAACAGCTCAAATATCAGTTCTATGTACACATGCAAGCAATGAAGAACGAGATGCCGCCAATATCTATTATTACTTTGTCCTACAGAATCTCAGAATCGAACACAAATCCATGTCAACAGATGAACAGATGTAAGTTGACTACCAAATGTGTTCTAAATCCTGTAGCTTGAGGGCAAATATTATATCCTGCATAATGTAACTGTGGGGTTCAAAATTTCATTATCTGTAGTAATGGAAACTTACAGGTAAGATTGGTTATTTTGTGTTATTCAACTGTACTTAATTGAATCAAGTGCAATGTACTACTAACATAACTTTACAGTAAGTGAATGTACATTTCCCCACTTGTGGTGTGAACAAATTTGTATTACTTTTTACCAGTTGACTTGTACGTGTAACAGCTACGTAGGTTTGAAACTTTAACATTGAAGAAGCAACTTCCGAGCAATATAGCTAAGCATTGCCTACTGTATCATAAATTTAGGTATTTAAGAATTAAGAATTACTAATTTAAACAGTTTAATTCATCTAAAAGTTGCAAACGATTTTTAAAACAAACAATTCAGTGGGTTACTAGTTGATAGGTGCATGTAAAAGTACAACTCCAGTTCTTGTAGAAAGACAAGGCTACCAAAGCCTTTTATATCCCAGTATTAGGAGTTTAGACCAATGAGGTAAATTCCTTGATACTGTACATAGGATATTTAAGATTTTAAAAGTGGAGGTACCTATAGAGATATAATTTTGCAGCTCATAGCATTACTGCCTTTTCAACAATTCCAAACCATAATAGATGGTGAGAAGAAGCATTTAATGAATTGGTAATTTTCGGCTGTCTTAGTCCTGGGCCACACCAAGTGTCCATCGCTCCACTATACAGATTCATGAAAAGTTTTTCTAACAGCACCTGTTCTTTCTTCATATTTTTTTACTAAAATATTTTGAGATTGCCAAGGGGAAGTTCTTCCTAATCACCCCAAAAAAACTTCAGGCAATGGATATTCCTTCTGCAAGTACTGGGCAAAAACGTACCGTACATCCAAAGAAACCCGCAAGTTTTGCAGTTTGAGCTAGTGGATGAATGGATATTTAGTACCTGGTTCGGGCTTTACATTTGAAAGTGCATCAAACTCAACGTACCTTGATAGTTTTGTTCTGCAGTCTAAGACCATTGAGTGTGTTGATCGCCTTCTCAGCATCCTCAGGCCTGTGGTAGTTTACAAATCCGTATCCCAAGCTTTGTCCTGAAACATAAATACCAAACGTTGAAAATGATTACATTTGATTAATTTTTACAATACGGATTGTACAGGTAAGAAGTATTCATATAACATAGCCAAGATATGTTGAGTATAAAGCAGTAAACAGTAGTTAGTGGACTAATCATATGTCAACAATAGAAAAGAAAACAGAAATATAGGACGTGAAGGGTTAGGAAACTATATTAGTCGTAAACCAAAGACAACATAGTAGTGTGATGCTTTTTATAAAATGAGAAGGCAGAAGATAGATACCTTCTTAAGGGTATTTGTAGACAGCTATAATCAAAGAAAAAACTGTAAAGTCTTGGGCTAATTAGCTGACATTGCTGGTTCATTGCAGTCCATTTACATTATCCTTACACTGGTAGCACTATCTGGCCCCTGGTAATGGTACTTCACTGCCTTTAGGTTCACACACATCAGAAGTTCCATGTTGACAAGGAGTAAAGAACGTTTGAAGGTATTATGCAAGTAAGATGTTGGTCAGATTTTAGTAATAGTTTTGGTGTGTTAGTAGAACCAACATACGTGCCTGTAGCAAATATAACCTAGGGGAAATACCAAAAACATAGCCCACATACAACCAGCAAATTTTTTATCCAGTTGTAAAAAACTTTTGTCTCATGGTATATCAAAGCTGCAGTTTAAATTTAAACTAAAATATAGCTAAAGATTTAGCAGCTCTAGCCATACACATAAATACAGGACCAACAACACTCCTTAGGCTACCTAGAAATAGTCAGAAACTATCGGAGTTTATGACCTTTCCTACACTGTGCAAACAGGAACTAAAGTACCCCTGATAAAAGCTGAGTCACAAAATACTCAACCTCACCATGTCGCTGATCAAACCATGGTTGAATGCTGGTAAAAAGCCTGAGGGTCCAACATCTCTTAGACTTGACATCTCATTTACCTCCTGAAGTAGATAGCCTCTCTTTCTCCAGCAAGATTAAGGATGCTGATGATTCCGGCAATAAACATGATGACTGCTGGTTTAGAAACCGTGCTGTTCACCTGGTCGTACTGCTAGTCATAGGAAAGTCTGTCGCCAAAGACACGCCACGCTAACACAAGCGACCAATAAAGGAGGACTGATTGAACAGCAGATATCAGCAGGCAGTGTTTGCACAAGCCTAGCTTTACCTATGTTTGGCATAAGACTGCTGAAGCCAGCAAATCCCTAAGGAGCTTTGCCAGTAGCTCGCCTCATCTGTGTGTATATGTTGGTCAAATATAGATGCACTAACTAATTGTTTCTCTCTTTTTTAAGGTCACATTTGTTACCTTTTCATTTAGTGTTTGATATACTATGTATAATACTAGATACTAGAAAATAAACAACAGTCAAAAATGTATTGTTATAGATATGGTTATGGATATAACAATGATAAGGAAGTATGTTTAATCGATGGTACAACCCTTTCACTTCCCTAAAACCAATATTGTTTTCCCACTGACAAGTAATAGTTTCTTTGAGCTTGGGATGTAATGTAATTTTTAATCAAGAACTTCGATCCATAATGGGCACCAGGATGTTTTTGCATTATCATCTTAAAGTGATAATGTCAAATATGGTATGAAATTGACATTTTAGGAACAACCTTCATTTTGCAAGCATTGTTGTTCTCATTAGTCATAGAAAAAAAACAATCTGATGTCTAATATGATTTTCTTTTGGTTTTCAATGTTACAGCTTGAACAGAGCCAATGGCCAATGTAAATAAGTGACCAACAATGAAAGGTGATGCAAGAATAAATTAGAAGCAGCCAAAATAAACACACAAGATATGTATGCAGCTACTAATGTGAAACAGTTGCCAACAACAGCAAACAGTACGCAGGTACACAGGGCTACTCAATATTGTCCACCCCTGTTGCACCAAACTTTCATACTTGTGAAATTTAAAACCTAATTTTATAAATAATAGTGAAGTACTGTATCCTGGTTATCCACAGCAAGAACATTTTATGTTACACTAGACTGGGTGAAGTATTAATAAAATGTTAAGTAAAACATTCTTAATCTAGGCCTATTTTGCTGTTATTGCCATAAAGAACATTTTTTTAGAAGCGGTCTTATTAATACGTTTTCGATGTTTTGATAATGTTACATTTTTACTTGCATTATATATTACAACTAGGTACCGGTAGGCTAACTGATTAATATCCTAAAAGTCAGATTGTGACATTAGAAAAACTTGAAATTTGTTGTCATAGATATTTAAGTTTGTATTGTGATGGGGTTGTTATTGGGATTGGCAGGCTTTGATCAACTGTCTTGGAGGCTTACCTCAACAAATGTGCCCCTCTCTATCTAGCGCTCTTTAGTCGTATAGGGTTAGAAAACGGCTAGGGAGGAAATAAAGAACACAAAATTGGTCTCAAATATGAACTAGCATGCTTGGCGGTGATGGAGAGGGCCGTATTTACCTAACGGCGGACACGGTGGTTGCCGAAGGTTTTGGCCTAGGAGGGGGCCTCAAATATTTTTCTTGATAAATTTATTCCACCATAAATCTTTTTCGCCACGATCACGGGAGCTGTTGATGAAATCTGAGGACCCGCACACAAAAGATCTTTGCTACTTAGCCGTAAGCGTAGGAGTTGTCAATGTTCATCTACCTTCGCGGAAGAAGCCCAAGATAGTATCGCGACCGCGGGAGACAATGATGATGTCTACACAGCAACGGGAAATTAACTTGATTTTTCCGCGATCACGCAAGACGACGATCACGTTTTCGAGGCCGCGGGAGAAGATCATGAAAATAAGAAATTTATCTCCCTTCTTATAAAGAGGGATTGTTTTACTGATTTTTAAGCAATTTTGGAAGGTTGAACTAGAAAACACCATATTAACAAGATGAATCAGTGGTTCCATAATGTATGGAAGCGATAACATACTTCATCTCAGCTATGAATTTTACAATTTTGTTTGAAAAACCGTAAGCATCTTCACTGTTTGATGGATTAAGAGATCTTATTATTTTTTTATTATATCATTATTCTCTGTTACCAATTTCCACGAAAATTTATTTCTAGAACGATTAGCATTATTTAGAAAATTAGAGAAATCTAAACTCCTACCTTGCTCAACATGAGCCTTCTCTCCTACCTTTTTTCCAACATCTATGTAATGGTTATTAAAATCATCTGCTGAAAAAGGTGGAACGGTATTATTATGTTTGAAAAAATCCCCACTTTCTGATTTTACTATTTGCCAAGCAGCCTTACATATTCCTTAAACTGCTAAAAAATTTCTCATTATAATTAATCTTAGCCACTTTAATCATAGTCTTGTATTTTTTCCTATAAACTGACAGAGTTCTTTTTAAATCATCTTGCTTTGCTAAATTAGGCATTTTTGTTAAATCTGCAAGAAAAAGAACAGTATCTCGCATTTTCTTTAGAGATTCATCAAACCATTTATTCTTTAATTTACTCTTATAATCAGGCCTGATTTTCTTAGATATTCTAGGACAGTTCAAATTGAAATAATAAACAATAGTTTAAGAAATATTCAAAAGCAGTGTTTATATCTAGAGTATGAAAAATAGGCTCCCAATTTGCATTACACAAGCTCAATGCTAACATGCCTAGGTTCTCCCCATTAAGTTTACGGAAAGAAATTTCTTTGAGTACATTTGGTGCTATATTTTTAATTATAAGTTTAAAAAACAAAATGGGATGATCAGATATTTTATAATCCCACACCTTATGAGTGAATTGATGTTGATCAATATTTGTTGCGATATTATCAATACATTTATCCCCTTTGGTCGGGTATTTAAAAACATTATATAAGTTGAAAGATTTTAAAATACTTTTAAGCGATTCAGTACAATTGTCAGTTTTTAAAAAGTCAATATTAAAATCAGCTCCTAGAACAATTTTGTTGATTCAGACGCGATCAGAGGAGACAAAGATGATGTTCCAGCACCCGCGCAAGATTTTCACTATTTCTCCACGGCCACTAGACGTTACTGATTCCGCCGCAATCAGAGGAGACTAAGATGACGTCTCAGCGCCCGCGGAAGATGTTCACTATTTCTCCGCGGCCACATGAGTCGTTCATGATTCCGACGTGTTCAGAGGAGACTAAGATGATGTCTCAGCGCCCGCGCAAGATTTTCACCATATCTCCGTGGCCACTAGTCGTTCATGATTCCGCCGCGATCAGAGAAGACTTAGATGACGTCTCAGCGCCCGCCCAAGATATTTACTATTTCTCCACGGCCACGTGACTCGTTCATGATTCCGACGTGATCAGAGGAGACTAAGATGATGTCTCAGCGCGCACGCAGGTTGTTCACAATTTCTCCACGGCCACATGAGTCGTTCATGATTCCGAAGTGATTAGAGGAGACTAAGATGATGTCTCAGCGCCCGGGCAAGATTTTCACCATATCTCCATGGCCACTAGTCGTTCATGATTCCGCCGCGATCAGAGGGGACTATGACGTATCAGCGCCCACGCAAGATGTTCACCATTTCTTCGCGGCCACATGACTCGTTCATGATTTCGACGTGATCAGAGGACACTAAGATGACGTCTCAGCACTCACACAAAATGGTAAGCGTTTATCCGCGGCCACATAAGTCGTTCATGATTCTAACGTGATCGGAGGGGACTGAGATGATGTGTCATCACTCACGCAAGAAAATAATAGACTTATTTATTAGCTAGTCTCCTATGTTTTATTTTTCAATCAGATTGTTGGAAACAAAAGGTCAATTCATCGAGTTGAAGCAATACCACGTGTATTTCTAAACCCTTAAGTTCCGACCTTTGAAGAATCAGAATATAGAGAGGGGCCTCCCTGGTGAAAGCCGCCAGGGGCCTTATAGATTCTAAATATGGCCCTGGTGATGGGCACCTTAATCTAAGGACAATCCTTAGATCCTGTGACTTGCAACAGTCAGTATTCTCTAGTCAACTTCAGTATTTTGATAGTTGGATTGTTGTGACCCAATAGATTTGTAATTAGTCTCCATAAGGTTGCACACATTTTGTGGATTATAGTAAATTATATACACACTCCCCACTTTTATCTGAAGATTCCTGGAATTGGAATGGACTCTATATCCTAGTTCACAACAATCACTAAACTCACATGGAATGGTGAGCAGGATGTGCATGTGCACTTAAGAATCCTTCCCCACCACCATCACTTTTGTTATTTTGTACAGTAATACCAACAATTACGTTAATTCACATTAGTTTAATTTTAAACTACAGCGTCTACTGGTGTGACTCTTGGTATTGTTGGGAGCCTTTCATTTATTGCTCCCTGTCTTCCATGTCATCCTAATTCACTTAGGCCCAATTTATACTAAAGCCTCTTTCTTGAACAAAATATTAAGCTAAAACAATATAGGCCTAGAGGTATAGGTATCCAAAGACATGTTTGACTATTAGTTCAAAACAAACGTGTGTACTAGTACTACCATTGACTATAGTCAATGGTACTACATCTTGTATTGAAGACAAGACAAAAAAATAATACCTAGAGGCCTACTTTGCTCCTTAAACCCTTAAAGACCCGAAAATAACGTGTATTGTGACATTATGTGTTAGTGATTACACTGAATTATTATTTTTTTTATTACATTTTTGTTCCATTGCAAGTTCCTCTTTCCCAAGCTTAACCAAACTTCACTAGGATCAAGAAAACATGGCTGGATTTAAAACCCATGTACTTTACATATCTACGTATTAACATGGGTATCTTAAAACTAGTCTGGTCCATTTGCTAATTTCCAGACTGATTAAGATGTCCATAGTGAATCTGGAATTTTGGTTTTCATGTGCTGATAAAAAAAGTGCAAGAGTGATAGTCCTCATGACATTTATCTCTTAAGAGTTTTTAAACTGTCAGTTATCTTAACCCATTGTGAAGCGATTTCATCATCCTCTAATCTATTCTACATTTTGTTTAAACTTACCTGTGACTTTGTCCCTGATCAGTTTGCAACTCTCTACATCTCCGATTGAAGAAAACAAAGATCGAATTTCCTCTTGGGTCATGGTTTGTGGTAAATAATTGACGATAAGATTAGTCTTGCTTTCCTCCTGGTTCCCTCCAGGGTTTGTTTGGGATGAAGAATTGTGAGAGTTTGAGGAGGATGATGAGTTTGTGTGTATAGAGCCATTTTGCTGCGGTAATGTGTCCATACCATTTTGCATCATGTTCACGAGGGGTTTCAAACTGAAATCAGAAAAAAACATTATTAGGCTAGATCTAATCGCATGATTTACAGATATGGTGATTGAGTTAGTTTTTAATTCTGGACTATCACTTGAATTGAAGCTAAAACCCTTATTAAAATATAGGCCTACATCTATACAAACGAAATATAAATCATCATTAGGCTATATCCCAATAGTTTATCAGGTATCTCAGTCACAACAACTGCATTATTCTTTTAATAGGCAATTATGATGGCAGTATTAACCTTACAAGATTCAATATTTTAATATTGGCTTGGTTAATTAAGTTAGGCCTATTATCAAAACAAACACAATAGTAATTTGAAGTTATTAAATTAATAAAAACTTATTCATTAGCTAATTAAGAATTATGTTTCTATTTCACAATAACACTTCTCTGTCAAGTGGTTTTATAAAAAGAAGAGTAAGTGGAAGAGTAGGCTAGGCCTATATTTCATTACTAGTACCGAAAGTGGCATTTTTCGAGGCGCGCGAGGCAACACCAGACACACCAACACCAAATTTTACGTGCGAGAGGAAGCCAAGGAGGGGGCCTAATAAATAAAAAGTCCTAATAATAATAAAATGTAACAATACGAGACCTTAGTTCCCAAAAAAATTGGACATGGTACTAATGGACTAAATGTACGAAATGTTCTTTTTTGGGATAAGTCTATAAGGTATTGCCAGTATATAATTTCGAGGATGGAGTCCATATCCATATCCATACTGAGCCTCTTGATGTCCTTTTTGGGTGGCGGAAGCAAATAGTTTGATCTCTCCTCTCGGACTAAAGTCTTGTTTGATACACACACTTATAAGGCAACCTTTGAAAACTATTAAGATCACTAAGATCAGATATATTCGTGTAGTAAATTGATAAAAATCCCGACAACTGAGCTAGAGCACAATTTAACCTAGAGAAATTTGAAATTTGCCGCTAACAACGTGATAACAGAGAAACAACGAAACAAGTGCACCACACCACGTGTCACATGACGTTGAAAGTGTTGTACAGTGTGGCCAACTTCGCAAAACTAAATCTTACTTCATTTGATTAATCCAATTTATTACCATAGATTAAACTTGCTCATATTTAACAATTTAATGTAAATGATAATACACATCATTTGTAATATTTCAATAATAGTTGCAGGATAAAAAAAACAGTCAAAATAATTATTATTTCACAATTATGTTGTTGGTTTGCGGATGTTACAAACATTTCGGCATTTAATCTTTAATAACTGTGGCCTTTTATCTCGAATTATAATTTTTTTAATTTCAGAAGTAATTGTTCATTAGCAACTTGTGCAAGGCAATTAAACATCCATTTACTTTAGAAAAAAACATTGATTGATATAACTCTACCGAAATGCCGCCGCGTAGGAGAGGTAGGTTAGAAAACGAATTAAATCATGGGTTAAAGCCAAACGATGTTAGACGTAGTAGCACATGAGGAATCAGGATTAATATGTCTACAATTTATTAAGCTAGCCCACACTGGCTTACTATACTATACGTACTATCTACATATTGACTTTGGATATGTAGTAGAAGTACTTGTAATCTATTGTAAAATCAGGAGCTTTATTTATCTACCGGCGAGTTTCGTGTTCGTGAAATTTGAGTGAGTTTATGTCAACTAAACGTCTTCTTTGATTCAGGGTGGAGTATGCAATACAAAAACAACCATTAGTGTCTATTTATACTTTTTAATAGATTTATTTTAACGAAATTTACCAATGAAGAGAGATTAAGGTAAATTAGGTCTGGTACACTAGTATAATAATTCACCAACTGATTTAAAGTTACAAGCAAATAGTTTGCCAGTGTGTACATACACTGTACACCAGTGTGTATATCTGAAGCTTGTTCAGGGACAATGAGTGACGTTCGGTCAGTTCTATGGGGAATTCACCAACAACAATCGTTTTACCTTTTTCAATCTTAAACTATTTTTTTCCAAAATCATTTGAAAACCCTTGAATTCACAGTATTCATATTCATAAAGATGTCAGGGGGTAGCAAAATAAAATTACGTTTTAGGGTGAAATCTTCATTGAGTGAAATATTTATACCATTTTTCTCGAACTAGTTGTAAAACTACCATAGATTATCAACATGACAGGTATTCAAACCACTTTAATTAAATCTTTATAATTGAACTAAGCACGGTTCTATATATTGAGTTGTAGTTTTGTAGTAAGTAGTAAGGTCAATATAGCTGTTCCCTGATATTTACAGGGGTTTAATTTAATACAATTACAATTACAAAAGGCTTACTTCGTGCATAGGAATAAAAACTGTACATTCATGCTAGAAATGTACACCTGTAACATCAGCAGATAGGTACAGTAAAATGACAAAAAGTGGTCATAGCTTCATGGCACTTCTAAAATAAGACACATACACACTCCAAATCTAAAAATATCTGACATGTGGCCAAGTTTCCTCTTGCTTTGCGATCAAAGGTTCACAATGTAAATGATAATGCACATCATTTGTAATATTTCAATAATAGTTGCAGCATAAAAAAACAGTCAAAATAATTATTATTTCACAATTATGTTGTTTGTTTGCGGATGTTACAAACATTTCAGCATTTAATCTTTAATAACTGTAATGTAACAGTTCAAAATTATTAATTATTAAGTTATTTTTAATGGTAAGATAATAATGGTAAGGTATGATTTCAATGTTATGCAACTACAGATCATTTTGAAATCGGCACCTTGTATGTGTCGGAAATTGAACACAAGCTACGCATCAAGAAAAAAAAACTTATGAAAAGTTAAAACTATTTTCCTAACGAAATTTTCTACAATGAACAATTGCATTAAAAATATAAAATTGCAAAACACATATGTACATAAAATGAAGTGTTCTCAATGGCAAACTCTTTAGTTTACGTTACGTACAAATGTAATATTTTAAAAGATATTAAAAACCTGATCTAAAATTGATTCATGTGGAACTATTATTATTTACCAGCCTCTGCATGTTTACAAGGACATAACCCACAGATATCCTAACATAGACCTTTTAATTCATCGACCTGTTAAGCTTTAAAGACCCTGAAATACATGGATGGACATTGGTTTAAAAAGTAAGACAATAAATACAATTAATTAGCAACAACCTCGGACAGTACAGTAACAACGAGTTATGAAAAAAAGGTATGAGGTATGAACGTTGTCGTCCTGATTGGTCCTGGTTTGGATTTGTTGGATGCTTGGAAATACTTTGTGACAAATTCTACATTGACTACTTCATGAAATGTAACAGCTAATTAATGAGCCAAATTGGATTAAATGCATTGTAAATGACTAAAATGTCTTGGATGCTCATTGTGATATACAATCTATTATATAACCTCGAGTTACCGAACGAATAACCTACCCATTTGACACGCCTTCGAACCTTCGCCAATTTCGTTTCACATTATCAACATCAGAAAATTAAAATCTGCTAAATTTGTAATTTCAAAATGCAAATTTCTAAAAAAACCCTGAACTGCCATATTATTTTCAATCTATACAATTCAACGGCAATAACACACACTGCAACTATGAGTTCGATTCAAACTTTTCATTTTGTTTAAATAGTTTCACATAATAGTATACAGTCCAACATAATCAAATAGTTGTGAGTAATAAAAATTATCAGTGAAAGAGGAAGAGAACGGTAAAGTCGTTATTCCCAGTTATGGGGTACATGGAAAACCAACAGTAGACCGTATTACTAATTTTAATCAACAAAAGTCCTCATTTCTAAAAGAAGGCCTTATATCTCTTGTGAGTTGTGACTATAGAAAAATTATGAATAGAGAAATTAATTAATATTGCTAGAACTAGTGAATTTGACTAATAGATGTTTGAAATCTGGCATAATTCTTGTGCAATGACTGTTTTGTCCAGTTCGTGAGATAAATTGAGAGAGATGGAATTGGAGAAAGGAAGATAAATGAAAGGTAGAATACGCAGGATTTGGAACAGAGGGTGCAATACAGGGTGATTCAAACGTTAGTAACGCCAATATTTCATATGATTGTTTCTAATCATATGATTCAAACTAACCTATATTAGGGTTTTTTAATTAAATTCACTTTTTTTAAGTTTTGGTATTCTTTTTTTTAATCATCCTGTGTTATACGTCCAACGAACATCCGGGGGGTCCGGGGCCTTCCCCGGGAAAATGTCTGAAAATATAGTGTTTTAAAACGTATTTTACAATATTTGGTAACACATAGAACCAACAAAAACAAAATAGTATATTGTCATTCAAGGAAGGTAAAGTCATAGTTTTTTATGCCAACATTAAAAATTAATAAGTTATTTGAATTTTTTTTGTAAAATGTATATGGTTAAATCCACAAACCCAATAATTAAAAAGAAAAATAATTTTACAGTTGAATAAAGCCTAGATGACAGCCAAGAAAGTTGATGTTTTGTTTTCTGAATAGTTTTGTTAAAGTATAAAATAATGGTACATCTGTGAGTCAACTACTTATTTGATTTAAACATAAATTTAAAACGTTTTTAGAGCATTTTCCATATAATAAGCTATTACCATACTACTCATGGTAAGACCTGTACCCGCGACCGATTTACTTTTTCGTTTTGAGGACCTCAGAGGCCAAAAACGCTCTCCGTTTAAATCTATTGAAATCTATTCAAATATATTTGCGTGTGTGTCCCTTAGCCCGATAACTCGAGCAAAAATGATCCGATTTTGATAAAATTTTGTAGAAGCGTGTAAACCTATGTTTATTCAAATGAGTTTGCGAACCAAAATGATTAGACTATGGGGACGGGGGTTTATGGGGGGTTTTATGGGGTAAAAATTTATTTTTCCCATTTTGACTCTAAAACATAACATTTCACAATTACTTTCCAGACTATTTTGTAGAGCTTAAAAAAGAAATAATTTTGTATAATGAAGTGTTGTTGTATGCCTAACCGGTTACGGAGATAATTAAAAAAAAACTTTAAATTT